GCTTCTGGCGATTTACTCGGAAGGTTTCAGTAGAGTCAACTGAAGCCAGTCCCCAACTCTGGGGACTTCCGGCCGGGGACTTCGAGTGGCAGTCTACGGCGTGAAGTTGTTTGCGGCCTGCCAGTAAACCCAAAGCAGAAGAAGAAGAAGTGACGTCAGCGGCTTCATTTGACTAATCCTCCCTCAGGGACTTATTCCGGTGTGAACGCGATCGGCTCTTAGTTCCATGGGGGAACTAAGAGCTGGGAACTAAGTACGGCAAAGTACTTGGTGTTAAAGCGACTATTGATCTCAAAGTGCCTCCATTTTATGTGCTCAGTATGTTCCTCCATTTGCATTCAACCCCTCATCGCAGAAGTGATTTGTCTTCTTATAAAAAGAATGACTTTTTCTACCATTTGACTAAATCTGTGTCTCTGTTCTTCAAACGTTCAGGTGGAAAGAGCCAAGCTGGAGAAGGAGATGGGCGGCCTCGGTCTGGACATGACCGACAAGGATGATGTAAGTTCTTTCTTTATATCACAACCTTTACCTTTTAAGAATATGTTAAAACTCAGTTAAACATGTAGATAATGTCCTGTTTCACATTGATGTTGAAATGGTACATATTACAGCTGTTTAGAAAGTGCTAAATGTCCTTTCAATACATTTTTATTTACAATATTAACGGGCATTTTGAGATTCCTCTGCACTTTGAACAAGTTGAATCAGTCCACTTTCTCCATCGTGACACGAATAGTTTGAGTTTGACAGATCAAAGTCAACTTTATTGTCAATCTCAAAATATGTTTGTCCACACAGAAAGATCGAATAAACACCCATTAAAATACATGAACACAAAATAACCGTTTACTTCAAGTAAGCAGGATATATATATAAAAAAGGATGATCCATCGCAGCGTAAAGGTGACGGGTGATGCTATCCACCGCGGCAGGGATTTAAAGATGTTCTCCTCTTGTTCTTTCAGAGTCACTACGCCCAGAACGCCCGGCGCTCCAGAAGCGTCACCAAGAAACGTAAGCGTGACGTTTCTGTGGTTCCGACCTCAAAGACCCGAAGCCAGAGCGCCTCCCGGCCGCCCAGAGACCAGTCCGGTCTGCGAGACCCAACGGTACGACACCCTGTCTTTACTTTTAGTTATTCATCTATATATATGCTATACAATATCTGTTTTCTTTTACTGCACATATTTTATATTTTAATGTAAATACTGCTTTATTTTATTTTTAATATATATGTTATTATAGCAGTATTTACATTGAAATGTGTGATATTAAATGTAGGCTTCACTGTAGGTAGACTTTAGATTGTAAAATAGCATGAACTGTTTTCGTTAATCCTTATTACCTGTGTTGAAATGTTTACGTTAGTCTTTCTGGCCTTAACTATTAGTGGTAGGAACAAAAATGGGCCGAGGTGGAAAAAACACATTCCACTTTAAATGAAGGTTTGTTTTCACATAATAAAATAAAACCTTTGTGTACGACATACCATACAAATAATAAACAACTTCATTTTTATAGCACTTTTCCAAACAAAGGTGCAATGTACTTTACAACAGTTAATATGTAAACAAATCTAAGAGCGAAACATGAACACAATACTGTAAAAAAGCCTACATTTAAATTACATTTTTATAATTACCCTTCATGCATTTTAACCTGTTTAGCCATCTCACAACATCTCACACACAAACAGCGTCTGAGGGCTTCTCAACATTTAACAAACTATGAATGTGTCATACCCACTTAACAGGAAGAAACTCAGCTATCAGACAATATTAACCATTTCTAGCTAAACGAAACATAAGGGTAATAACAAAGGCTCTGAATTAGCCCTGAACGAAAAAATACACTTAGCACAGAACTCACGTTTAAATACCCTTATTACTGATCAAACAAGATATCTGCTAGCAAGCTGAGATTCCACAGATCCCAGAGGTATAAGTATCATCACTGAGCGATCAGAAAAACAACAAACAACATGGGTTCCAAAAATATGGAAAATCCACCCAAATGACCCCAGAAGTGTTTTTTTTCTTTCTAAATCTCTCTAAAAAGGTCAAATGTCACTTGTTTTGCATCAATCTTGATACAGGGTACTTATTATATGTTATAGTTTGGATTCCTAAAGCTTTTAGTCTACTATCCCATCATTCAAAGGTTGTTTTCACTATAAGTATTTTTGGACGGACACTATAATTTACATTTTTTTGCTATGTTCAATCTGAATTTACTTTAAAATAAAAAACATCTATATTGATTCTGACTTTTCTACATCCAACTCACAGGTTTATCGTTACTTTGAGAACAAAGATTATTAATGTAACCCTCTTAGAAGTGAAGATATGGTCATTTGTTCTGGGAATGTCATTTTCGAGCCTGAGACCTGAAAAACAGGCTCAGGGCTAACAGCTAGCCGGTTCCATCTCCTTACAGAGGAATGATTATTTCAGCAGCATGGTGTAAAGTGTGAAACTCTTTTGTTAATGGAATCACAAGGCAGTTTTATTTGAAGAATACTCACATCTGTTTCTTCTTGGTCTGTTCCTCAGATGGTGAAGAAGGCGAAGATCATGATGAAGATCGGCCAGAGAGACATGATCCGTCAAGGAAAGAAGGGAGAGGGGGACAGACACATTTACGACCTCAAACCCAAACATCTGTTCTCCGGGAAGAGGACGAACGGCACCAACGATCGCAGATAAAAAAACAAAAACATACATCCTTTTTCTGGACTGGACCCTCTTTTGGAAAGTATAGGCTTCTGTGTGGAGATAACGTCTTCGCTCTCTACGTTTACCCGCCAGCAAAAAGAGGAAATATCCTTCCTTTTGTAAGCGTGGAAACTCTGCTCATATGATATTTTTGTGACATAGGAGCGCTGTCCTTGAGGATGGCAGCTGGGGAAATATGAAATGATTTTAATTATAATAACAGTCTGTCTTTTATTTGTCAGCACGAAAAATAAGGTTGTTATAATATCAGAAAAAAATCTATATGGAAAAACAGACTCAGAAATCAGCTTATAGTCAAATGTCTTGTTTTCTAACTGTGGCTGCCATGAGCAAAAACGAACATCAATGTCAACTATTATTTAACTGATTTGTTTCTGTCTTGGCAATATCAGTTATTTGAAGAAACATGCCTTATAATGTATGTGGATCAGAACATGTTGGGTTTAAGTTGGATAAAGTGATGATGATTCTTCTTCCCCCACAAGTCTCCCTCTGTTAAATAATCAAATTAACAAGGAGGCTTAATAAATATACACCTGAACTAAACTTCTGTCTGTCTCACCTGTTTAGAGTTGGAAATGTTGGTTATATTCCCCTTATATCGGAAGTTTCTCTGTTATGCAATATATCCCCTATCGTAAAAGCGACCAGAACAAAGTCTATGTGAATTTTTTACCATTTAAAGTGGTCCTATCATGCTATTTTTAGGCAATAGCATAGGTCTCAGATATATAAAAAAACATGTCTATGAAGTGTTTTGCTCAAACGGATCACCCATTCTAGCCATGCTCATGAAACGCCATATCATGGATTATCAAGGATTATCTCTGAAACAGTATGGAGCTCAAAGGCTTTCTCTCTTGCCGGTTATACCACAAGGTGAGTTCCTTTTTACTTCCTGCTTCTTCACACACATGCTCTCCAGTACAGGTTAGCTCTGAGTGTTAGCGATGCTAATGTAAACACCGACCATATTACGTCCGAAACAGTCGGG